ATCTCGTATTCAACAAGTGCGAATGTATCAATTGTTTTGCTAAAATTTATCACATCCTGAACGTTTATTTGGATATTTGGAGCCTTTTTCAGGTCTGCAACAGTTGGCACGATGCATTTCCATATAAGATTAATCGGAATATGAGCTGATTACGAAGTTTTCTGAACCATCAGAACATTCAGAGTTAAAAGTTTAAAAATACAATGTATCTGATGAATGTAAATTTAATGTAAGATTTTATTCAGAAAAATATTTCTAAATCTTGGTATCCATGAGAATAGTTGGAAAGTATTTGCGACCAAATACGAACTCAAAATGGTATATGAGTATCAGAATTTGGTGTATATAAATTTCAGAATTTGGTGTATAGAAATAACGATTTGGTAGAAAAGTAATGTGGTGAGGATTTTTGTAGAAAGAAATTTGAATGAGGTAAAAAACAACAACAACAACGTACGAAAACTGTTACAGATATCATGTTTATACTGGTGGTAGAGTTTTGAAAATCTACTTGTTTTCTTGTGGAAACTCTTGTCAGTTAAGAGTAATGGGGGAAGTTTCTTTGAATTAAAGTAGGTTTTGGCAAATTTTGTTATGCATGCTGTGTGGTATTTCGGTAAAATGCTATGAACAAATGAGTTGGGAATGATTTGATGAAATATTAGGATATATGAATTTTTCCCTTGGAGGGGGAGTAGTTCTAAGCAATAGGTTGACGAAGATGTGCCACTGGATGACGTCGCATTTTCACGACTGGATTGAATATATCAATAGAGTTAGGACAATGGGGTCGCACATTTTCAGAACTCAGGGTAGGAAAATTATGGTAATACGGGATTGAAAAATGGTCGCCTTTTGGATGGCACGAATTATATTCGCCCAAAAGTGACCAAGATGGGGTCTATAATTGGCCGCAGAATAGGCCCTAATTGGGTTGACGTTCTGAGAGGCCAGCGGCTTATATCCAACATAAATTGACCCAAGTACGCTCTCCCAGAGTATTTGTGGTGTGGCTATTGATATATCTGATTGAGAACTTTGTGATGTCTGTTGATATATTTCAATATGAACTTTGCGATGTCTGCAAACCTCCAAAGGTGCATCCATAACTCAATTTTGTACGCTGTGGTGTTTACCATTCGTTTCATAACATAACATCAATAAATTGTAGCAAAAGAGTTCCTTTTTGTTTAACAAATCTTACGTGATCAGAAAAAGCAAGCGCGCGAAAGCTAGTCTTTGCGTTTACTTGCATCAACAGCGTACACCCATAGGCAAGTGGAGGACAGTGAATTGACCCATAAGAGCGCGAGCTTTACTTTGATTATGTTATAATAAAAATTGGCAAGTTAAGTAAGTTACAATGAGCCAGACCCGGTTTTGTAAATTATTTGACGAAAAGATAAGTTTTTATAGCTTCAAATGCACAAACCTAACAATGAAAGAAAGTGTTTTCAATAAATTTTGGCGATTGTCTGGATGCTTACTTCTCGTGAGGAAGAAAAACTAACCACCAGCTCACTAGAAATGTTTTGAAGTTGTATGATAACATTACTGGGCGAGACGTTAAAAAATTGTGGTCGTATTGATCCAACAAACAATAAATTGTACCTGAATGAGGAAGCCGTTCTGAGCCTCTTTGGAATAAAGAAAATTATACCAATCAATGAAAAAAGTATCCAGGTACAAGACTTTTATTAAGCTACACAAGAGTTAAAGAGGTACACAAGAGTTAAAGACTAAATGCATCATTGTGGTGATCGCATTCTCTACTAACGGCATTGGTTGCATCGTTTCATGCAGTTTCTCCTAACTCTGGAATTCCTGCATTGGCTTACTGGCCGCCATCGGCAAAATCTCCATCGGTCTCGGCAAACCGCTATGTAGGAAATGAAGACAAAGACTATGTTATTCATAGCTGTTGCGGCTCGTTAACAACTCTTCTAAAAATATCATATAAACGTTTCCTACATTTCTTTTTTGTTAGTTTGTCATTTCGCCAAATAAGATGCTAGATATGAGACCGTAATAATATCTTGGTATTATCATTTTATAACACCATTATTATAAATGCATTTATAACTAAAACATGTTGAAAACGGAGCAACGGCGACCAGAAAGGACAACATACAACACTTGTAAAACTACTTTTTAACACACCGAGCATCTGTTCCCTATCATTGCTTTTAACCATAGGAAATTAAAGAGTGACGTTCTGGGTCATTAATCTGATGGACAACGTAGCTCGCGAATATTATCTACGGGTTTTTAAACTTTCAAAAAAGGACATGTTTTGAATAGAAGTTGAAACAAAAAAAAGACAGCGAACCTAAACAAAACTGAAATTTAATTACAAAAAACGAGACTGATATATATATATATATATACCTCCTCCCCCTCCTCTCTTTCTACATTCATTTCGGTACAAAAGGTTGGCTTGCTGTGCATCAATTGGACTTAAGCCCCTCCTCTGGCCAATAACTCCTTGATACTGAAAACATTATACGTAAACGTCATAAGTAAGTGAGTAAGTAACTCTAACAACAAACATATGAAATACATATATATGAACTGCGGTTATGAAACGTATATGTGCACGATCCTTCGCAGTAAAGCACTATTTAAGCAATAGTGAAAATCAGAAAGGTAAGTAACTCTATTTAACTGGCCCATTCCATGTTCATCGGGGGCTGGGAGATTGATTCTGTCTCCGTCGCAGCCAGTGATGTATGTCGCACAATGCCTTCCTCCCCCCCATCATTCCTCCATCAAATCTGCAAATGTATTGCAAAAGTCTATGCACTTGTTGGTGCTAAGAAGAAAATAAGTTTCTCAGTGAAGGATAAGGGTGCAATACGACAGCTGATCAAAAATTGTTAGAGGAGGTGGAGCATAATGGTTACGCTAGTGAATACTTTGTGTAGTCGGGTCCAGAATCCTGTTTCTTGAGGCTCCCTATACTTGACAGGCCCTAAAAACTTTTTTGTTTGCCATGAAGTCATACTAGAGGGAGATATAGAAACTTTTGAAATTGAAACAATTAAGATATCGGGAAACAAAAAAAGAATGAATCGGTGTATGAGGTGAGACGCAATCTCTTTATCTACACTCCATAGATTTTGATTTTTATGGATTCTGGCTCATAAAGCAACGGGACCTTCGTGAAACGAGCCTTTTTGGCTCATTGTAAATCAAAGAAACATAAACAAAGATCTTTGTCTCGGCTGCTATAGTAACATACCCTCGGGTTTTTCGTTATTATGGTTCGAAGTCTGCCGTTCTTGCTGAATGCTCTGCTTGCGTAATGCATTAAGCTTCTATAATCGTAAGGGGTGCCGAGAGAATCAATGATTGACCTTGGGTACTTCCTAAAATTATTCTCTGTCCCTGCAATAAATTACATCAAATACTTTTGGTCAGAAAGGTCGGCAGCTGGTGATATGGCAGGTGGACGCAAGGAAGAAATTGCTAACAATCTTGATAACGAGAACCCTATTGAAGATAACTTAAGAAAGGTTTGGGTTCTCGTGGGTTTGAGAACAAAATGACCGGAAATACAACATGCGAGTTGACTGTGTATGCTGCATTTGTATTTCACCCACTGTACAATCTGATCAAATCTTTCAAAAGCAAGGAGAGGTCCAGCGTGAAGTCAAAAGCAAAAACAAAAACTTCACGGCTGCTTTAAAATAACTTTACTATTTTGGATTACAAAGCAGTTTGTTTAAACCATACTACATAAATTATGCACTGAGAAATTAAGAGTAAAATATAAAGTGACTTTAGAGGAAACGGATATTGCTCTTGGTAAGCGAAACCCCAAGTTATTAGCGACAGTTTACAAACTGCAATTACTCTATGACGAAACTCAAATTTAGGTTTTTAGTGCAAGATAGCGCTTGCACCTTCTTGGGAGTGATTGTACAGTAGCAAGACTACGCATAGGCTTTTAAAAATGAAATGCGAATCAATTTGCCTCACCTGGTATTACATTTTGCAACAGCACTGTGACGTACTTATCTCTATCAGAACGAGACTGTTCATGAAAGAATCCAATGGCATGGCCTGCGAAAAATCAGAGAAAATTTTAAGTATTGTTGAATTGGTCTTAAGTTAGGATAAAGTTGTTTAAGTCTTGCTACCGCTCTAAAAATATCTTCCCTAAACGTTTATATAAAATAAAACCTCTAAAACATGAACAAATACGAAAGAAAAGAAAACAAACGAGAAAGGAAAAAAGCAGAAGAAAAAGAAACAAAAAACCGGCCAAACTAATAAGGAGAGGAAAATAAATAAAAAATGATATACAAACACAACAAACCAAATTATTTACCGATTTCATGGGCAACAATTCCTAGAGTCCGGCATCTGGGACCAAGGTTAATAATTTGAGATCTTCCAGTTCTGCCCACATTTGAATAACACCCTCGACTGAAAAGTAAGTTGACATCAGGAGAATGCATTAATTATTTATTATTTTTTCCGGAGTACCAATTTAATTGCTTAAGAACTGTGACCAGCTAGAAAAATCAATAATCAGAAAAACAGGGACTGACTGAAAAGTTGAAAAAGCGAAAACAATTCAAAAGTATGGGCCTTAGCTTCGAGAACTACGATCTACTTTGGCATTATTACAAGGAATTATCGAGCAATCTCACCATCAGGATTTTCAGATGCAACCAAGCCTGCTGTCACCAGCAGAAGGAAGCAGAGGTACTCCATGCTTCTTTGTCTTGTTAATGAATTCTTATACTTAGTCAGCTTAAGTTTTCTTGCCAGTGAAAACTTCTGCTGTAAACTGATGCTACCCGCAGAAAGCTGCTTCTTATGAACTATTCAGTCGTTTGTCCAATACGTGTAAGTGCTAAACTTGGCCACCAATGGACTATTTAGTCGATAATCCAATATGTGAGCGCTAAATTTGGCCATTTAAAATTGCGGCAAAAATAGTGTAGAAAAGAGGTGATGACTTAGTTTCTATTCCAATACACTTCCGAATAGTTTCTGTAGGTAACAATGCAATATATTTTGATATTTTCCATGCTCAAGTTAAGCCTCTTCCTTCTGCGACAACACTCGCTGTAGTGACGTCAAGAGTTGCAATATTGAAGGAGCCTGGCAAACCTGGCTCCTTCCTGTGACTTCTAATGGCATACATACGTAGCTATGGAAGAGAGTACTAATTGAATTTAATAGGGCTCCGTCCGTCTTTCTTAACACGCTTCCTTTTATGGCAAACATGGGTCAATTTAATACATTATGTACGTGTAACTGTTGCCCGGGCTAAAGATCATATCCATTCTACTTCCTTTGGTGATTAATTAACATAACTGCACCGGTTTCTTGGCCCATATCAATTAATCCACGCAGCTTCCGTCACTTCATTTTTGGCTACAATCAAAACAATCCTCATTAAACCATTTTATCTAAACAATGGCTTGTATACCTGAATAAGGCATCCAAGTTTAGTTTTTCTTTACCCAAATTTGTCTTTCTTTGGTGGAAAAACTCCTATACAAAAGACACATGATACATTGTGAAAATTGCATTTATATCGTCTCTTTGCCTTGTTTCCTTTCGTTGTTGTCGAGTTTTTCGAATTTTTGAAAGAAACGAGCAGATGTTATGTTGTTATGCTATATTATTTTATTTTTTTAACCAGCATGTCAATTGTGCAATATTTTTGGTTTTCTGAACCACTTTGGTAGATTCATTAGTTGATGAATCCTCAATAAATACCTCTCTTTCTCACTTTAAATAATAAGAGCGTATTACGACTTGACCGACTTAAATAATTTAGTGAATTTGTTTTTTTTCGTGTGTGTGTTTTACCGTGGAACTTGGAACATTCCTAAAGAATCAAGAACCCAGCTAGCTCATTTGCCTACTGAGTGACGGATTCCTTTATAGAACCGGGGTGGCCATATCGAGAAATCACATCACGATTTTTATGACTTAGCTGAATAGCCTTGCTTTGTTTGTTTGTTTTGATTCGGGGAAGAACTGCATTTCACCACCAATGAGGCAACGGGGATACTAAAATGAAAACGTTGTTTAATCGAAAGATTTTCATGAAGTTCTTCTGAAGGCATCGTTTCATACAGTATCAGACGCAGCTTTTTCGGGAATACTTTGTATATATTTGAACTGCTTAATCTTTACTACAAACCATTATTTTCCCTGATACAATGAAAGGATATTAAACCACACGTTTTATCAACGGTATTTTTTTTCCGTCTTTGTGGCTAGAACAATATCAAACTGATATCAGCTTGATGCGTTTTGTTGTATAGTTGTATTTGACTGGGTTTGTACTTATGCAGGACAGTACTTTTTCCCATGACGCTCCTTCAATGCATCTTTGGCCAGTCTCCCAATTAATCAGTGCCTCAGTCCTCAGATTTAATCTAGCAAAAACGACGATAATAAAGAAGAAGAATCATCATACCATGGCTTAGATATAGATAAACTGGTAACCCACATGCAACATACTATGCGTTACTTTTGTGGTTACGCACATCAAGAGAAGTAATAGGGAAGATATGGGGCTCAGCGGTATATAATTCATTTGTTATCGGCAATCTGACCAATGACATTTATAGTCTTTTCAGAGTCCCTCTATCTACGCAATAGAACATGTTTTCACAGCTTTCAAATAGTAACAAACCCTTTATGCCGGGGTGTCGGAAGAGCACTAGAAAAGCTTTTAAAGCAAGTGATTAAAGAGAGTAATTTGAATGAAAATTGTCTGCCACTGCAACTATGAACCACCCCTTACAGTAACTTTGCAAGCTTAGAGCACAGATTTAGTTTGTTTTCTTTAATTCTGAAATTCCGAAAAAAAAATTGAATTAGCTGCAAGGTGATTCATGAAAAGCCCACAAAATACCGAGCTGTGCACAGAAGATTTATTCCTGCTTTAAAAGCTATATTACTCGTGGTATAGAGTTCAGCTTTTAACTAAATTATTTTTGGGACCTCTATTCAAGTGAGATAATTTGGTTTTATTAATTGAGTTGTTATGTTAATTGGCAATCGTAAATAGTTTCAAAGTTGGCTAATCTACATTCTCAACCCAGTTGATGAAGCCGAATAATCTTGTTACACTTCCCTTATCTATTTAAGAATGAGCTTTCCCTAGAAACTTCATCAAAATTAATAGCAATTGAAAAGGGGCAAAAGTTAGCCGACATATGATTTCCGATTATAGTTTTCGAGAGGAAGGAACACATTATTTTACGAGCTGTGTAAACTAAAAGCTGAAAGGAAAAAAATTTTTTTGATTGAATATCATTACATTTCCTCTAACGACGGAAAATTTTTTAAGTTCGTCATTTGCAATCCGACTGCAAATGACGAACTTAAAAAAACTACCGTCAATGATCCACACCCATCTTTGTTGATCACATCGGCCCTGTTATCTTGTTATATCTCACTGTGCCGATATCTTGATGTCACATTTAAATTGGTGGTATATCTGTTAGGCGAAAATGACCCGAAATATCTTGACACTTGCTTAGATATTTAAGATGGTTGTTACCCTTAGCCAGGAGAAGACTGTAACGCACACTGAAGTCGGATTTTAAGGACTGACCTCACCAAAATATGGTTAAGTGCAACCAAATAGCGTAATATTCATTGCTGTAACAGCGGTGAACCAGCAGTTCAGCAAACCAGCAGTTCAGAGAAGAACTGGAGAACTGCCGCCAAACAAATTGGTTTGACTGCTAGGAAAGAAAATTTCATTTTTTTTCAATTTAAAACCTCAGAGTATAACACTTTGTAATAATTATAATTAAATGTTTGCTAGTTTGTCGCTTCATAGAGTGGTACAATCGTTTTTGTTTTTGTTTTTACGGTTTTGAATGATTTAGATCGTGCGTGTACTTATCACAGACTCAATACAAGTGGGCATATATCCAAGGGAATCACCAGCGGTAATGGACAAATATCCGAAGTTAAAAACTAAAATTTCACTCTAGAATACCACCATTAATAATATTTTGAGTGCTTAAAATAAAAAAGCGCACGTGGAGAGAACATTGATGAGGTTCTTCCATTTGTTTAAGGACGTAAGGCTCCATAAATCATCAATGTTGGGTTAAGCTTAGCTTCTATAGAAATACCCTATATTTGAACCACTCAATCTTTATCACAAAAATTTCATAACATGTAAAAACAAACATAACAATAAAAAGCAAAACCACACTTTTTCTCGACGGTATGAATTTTACGATCTTGTCGCAAGATTAATTTTAAACACAGACCATATCGCCATTGTTTGAAATCTTCTATATACAGGTAATGCCGTTTTGCACGAAATTATTTAATCCCTGTCAAGTCTCGTGATTAGGGACAGTTCTCTATAAAAGAGAATACATCTTTCCATAGGGGCCTTAATGCGTGTTGTTTTTTAAGAGCTGTTTCCTGACCGGGTTTGTCCTCTTAAGTGACACTGCTCTTCCACATAAAATTCTTTGTATGCATCTTGGGCCAGTGTCCCAATTAGTCAGTGTATTATTGCTTTTTATTTTTTTTAAATTTGATCTAACAAAAATAACGTTTGCAAAGAGGAATAATCATCATATCAAGGTCAAACATGAATATGCACCTCTCGGTAGTGCATGTGTCTTCTATCTGATGAGCTGTCAAAGAAAGATACAAACTTCATTTGCCATATATAGGCGATGTGGATAATAC